CTCAAACAAAGGTGCCAAATCTTTATGGAAGTAGATTGCCCCATCTTCCTTCCATGGAGAGTGTGGCTGGTGGGTTTGAATTGCCAACCTTCTGGTTAGCAGTCAACTGCCTTAGGCACTACACCACTGGAGATCCTTGCTTTAAAGGGCTAGGGAGTAAATATTTTAGGCTTCGCAGGGTCTCTGTCACAATTCCTCAATTCTGCTGCTGTAGTGCAAAAGCGGCCATAGACACTACGTAAATAAATGAATGTGGTTGTGTTCCTATAAAACTTTATTTACAAAAACAGATGGGGAACTGGATTTGGCTAGATTATGGGCTGTAGTTTGCTGATCTCTGGCCTGGGCTGTAAGAGCCTTGAGGATCTACACACTACATCTTTCTATGTTTCCCACTCTTCCCTTCCTCCTTCTGAGCACTCAATACATAGTTCTCGTTTAATTGTAGCCTCACATTAAACCAAAATAGTGGATTCACTTTTTAGCCAGAAGAGAAGCTTAATATGTTTTGTTTCACTCATGGAATGCTGTTTAAGGATTGAGATCTGCTATTATTGCTTGTTGTTTATACAGGGTAGGAAAGTAGGCAAAACTAATGTTTATAGGGTGTCAGGGAATGGGGGAATGAGGCCATGATGAAGCCCAGGGTTGGGGGGTGGGGTGGGGTTGGAAGGCAAAGGATCCAACGCCGGGAGGAGAGTTAGGAAGGAAACTGGCTACTGTGGGCTAGGCAGAGAGCCACCATTCTCTGCCCGGAGGTCCAGCAAAGCAGTAATTTACTAAAAAGTTAAAGATTTAACATGACAGAATCTACTCTTTTCAAGCCAGTTGTTTTGAAAAGTAGCCCGTCTGCTGGGGAAAAGCATTTCATCTCAATGCAAAGAATGATTATTGTTGTTGTTGTTATGTACCGTCAAGTCGGACCCAACTCATAGCGACCCTACCTTGGGTTTCTGAGGCAGTATCACTACGGAAGTAGATTGCCCCATCTTCAGGGCAATATAATAATAGATACAATGGCATTTTGTGGCTTAGGAGTAAATATTCTGGGTTCTAACAGTCTTTGAAAATCCTGACTTTTTATACCAGCTCTTCTGATCTGTATATACATTAGCATTGCCAGGTGGGCTTTTAAAAACCACTAATGTTTGGTCTTCAACTTTGACTGATGAAATCAGAATCCCTGGTGATTCCACTGTGTTGCCTGAGATGAAAAATGCTTCACATCCTAAACACCCATTTGCAAAAAAAAAAAAAAAAAAAATCATTGAGTCGATTCCAACTCTTGGGGACCTCATGTGTGTCAGAGAACTGAGCTCCACAGCATTCTCAATGGCTGAAGTTTTGGAAGTCAATCACCAAGGCTTCCTTTCGAGGTGTATCTGAATGGACTTGAACCTCCAGCCTTCCAATTAGCAGCTGAGCATGTTAACCATTTGCAGACTTACACCACTATGCTAAATGCCAGTTAGGAAAATGAATTGTGTGGTGTGCAGATGCCTTTCAAAGATTAAAAGTTCATTGCTATAATATTGTCTCATTTTTTCCTTGGCAATGTGA